TATTTGTGTGCGAATGTGTCCCATCATGTAACAAACAGATGAATTTCCACATATCAAATGGCTACAAGCATCTGTGGTTACGACCACCTCCAAGCTCTATCTTTTTTTTCCTCTTGTTCCAGGTGCTTCAACAACTCCGACGGAGACTTTCTGATTGGTGAGAAAATGGGCTGTTGATGTTTTTTATTTTTTCTGTTGATGATAGCTCAACCCCAGTCCTTCTTCTCCCTCAAATTTTCTCTACTCTGCCTCTCTTTGTCTGTTTGTCTCTCTAGTCCCCCAGCAGGGTGAGATCTTGATCACCACAGAGTTTGGGAAAATGATGGTCGAGCCGAACGAGATCTGTGTCATCCAGGTGAGGTCTATGTTTTTCATCTCCCTGGTTTTCACACAGAAATCTACCACTGTGGCTGCCCCCACACCCCACTTACCATATTTAGAAAGACATATTTGGTACTTTTCAAAAGTGGCTGTAAAAATGAAGAACAGTGGAAAGAGGTTTGGGCTACAGAAAGCCTGACCACTGGGATTTGTGGTTGCAGCATGTGATTTCCCAAACACAGCATACTACATTTGATTCATAAAAGCACTAAATTTCCCTTCACCACCACTTCTTATGTGTTTTGTCCAGCAAGGGATGCGCTTCAGTGTGGATGTTTTTGGAGAAACCAGAGGCTACATACTGGAGGTGTATGGAGCCCATTTTGAGCTCCCTGACCTGGGACCCATAGGTGTGTGTTTGTATGTTGTGTGTTTGTATGTTTGTGAGTATGGATACGTGTAGTGTCAATTCATCCTTCCCTGAATTCTGCACACCAACCTCATGTCTTTCTTTCTTTCACCTTCTTCCCAAATCTGTCATATTTCTAGCCATGCTAGCAGTGTGGCACTAAAGATGGAAAAGAGATTGAAATGTCAGTTGGTCGGTTGGTCCAACACTGAAATAACCCAACAACTATTGGATGGACTGCAATGAATAAATGAATGTCCCCCTCAGGATGACTAGTAGTAACTTTGGTGATCCATTAACTTTTCATCTAGCGCCATCATTTGGTAGAAATGCTTTATGATCAAATAGTTGCAAAACTAATTCCCATCAGCCTCAGCTGCATTTTAGATTTAGGGCTGTTTAGCAAATGTTAGCATGCAAACATGCGAAACTGAAATGGTACATACAACATAGTAAACATTACACCTGCTTAGCATTGTCATTGTGAGCATGCTAGCATGCTGACGTTACCATTTAGCTCAAAGTACTGTCATGCCAAAGTACAGCCTCACAGAGCTGCTAGCGTGGCTGTAGTACTGTTTATAAAGATTTAAATTTTTGCATATGTGCGTGTGTGTGTCTGCATATGTATGACTATGTATGTTTTGCAGGAGCCAATGGTCTGGCCAACCCAAGAGATTTCCTGTGCCCAGTTGCTTGGTACGAGGATCGCAAGGTTGCCACAGGTTACACCATCATCAACAAGTACCAAGGAAAGCTCTTCGCCTGCAAACAGGTGTTTTTTTTTGTGACATTTCAGTTTGTGTGTGTCAGTACACTCACATGTATAACAGACACTATATGACAGGGGCCCACACATATGGCATACTTGCCCTATTACCCTATTTAGGTTTGTGTTTGCTTCAGTAAACACCATCGAACCGCAAACAACGATGAACAGGAAACTGTTCAAGTGAAACATATGCTCCATTAGCTGCTCCTGCAGATTGAATTGCCATCCCTGATGATTTAATATCAAAGCCTTAGCTGTTATCCATTCAGCAGGTTTCCGCCTCGACTCCCTTATGAGTCTTAATCACTCATAATTAGTAAAGGCATTCCGGAGTTACAGACAGTGTACCTGTGAAGCTTTGCTTTGTAGGAAAAATCTTTCCCAAGTTAAGCATTAATTTCACCATATTTCACTCAGGGAACGATCCTGCCCCTCCCGAAATGTCCTGTTGGGCGCATAATTGGATCGACACATAATGTATGACAGGAGTTTTTTTTACCGAACCTTGGAGGAGGTGGGAGGAGAGGTTTGTCAGTGGCGGGGGTTGGGGGGTTGTAACCGTGGAAACCATGTCAAACCACACTGTTATTATTCATTGTAGGAAGTACACAAGGACAGGATGCTATCTTTTTTTTGTAGCAAAACAAACATTTTTCCATCTCTCTCGCTGCCTCCATTTGAGTATCCGCCCTCAGTTATGTGCTGGGTGTCAGAGGTGGAGGCTGTTGGCTGCACCTGACACTCTTTTGCTGGTGTCCACCCTTTCACCGAGCCAGGAGGGTGAGGCTGCAGGGCTTAGAAAATAAGGTGGGGGACGCGGGGCCTCATCACAGGGAAGATGCTGCTGCTCCCGTCTGGTCCTGCTGTTTTGTTCCCCCGCGGAGTGCTGAAATTGCTCAAATTAACTTATTATTTGCTTGACTGGGCCAATATGTTTGTGGGGTGTTTTGTGCATGTGTGTGCAAGTGCTTGCTCTCCTCCATTTTTCCCCTTTTAATCGAATGGAGTGGCGTTACCACAGACGACTGTCCAAGAGATTACCTGGAATGGGTTTCCCAAAAGTCTTTTTTGTGGTAACTAACTTAGTGTAAATTGTGTGTGTGGTTGTGTTTTTTTTGTTTGTTTATTATTCATGTAATGTTTTTCAATTTGCTAAAGCACACGTTTGTGTATACATGCGTGAGGTTTTATTGTTAGTGTGTATAAGCGGTTCATGTGTGGAGGTGTGCGTAAGCATGTGTGAAAGGAGCAAGGAGGTCACTCAGGAGGCAGCTTGAGTTGTAATGAACTATATTGATTCTAGAGCTGCTATTGAATGTCTTTTTCGCAGCGACATTATCAGAACAGAGAAACTATATAAAATTGCTGTGGTTTTAACAATCAAGATAAAGAAATATCTCTGCACCCACTGTAACTGCTGCTCCCTCCCCCCATAACTGAGCGTCAAAATGCTCAAAGTTTGGGAAAGTTTGATTGTGAAGCCAATTACCCCATAATACCTGGAGCCTTGTTTCACAAAGAACAGGGGGAATGAAAGAGAAGAAAGAATGAAAGAAGTACACCCTCTTTCACAATCAACCCTTTTCATTATGACCAGCTTTTTTTCTCTTTATGTCAAGAAGTACTCTCTCTGGGAATTTAAGATTACAAAGACATTATTCATTATTCCTTTTCCCCAGTGAAAAGCTCAATTTGAAGTCTTTTGTGTTTGCTGCTTGGGTAGACTTGTCTTATTTGTTTCGTTGTGTGCTCTGCACGTAGGATTTCTCACCATTCAATGTGGTGGCTTGGCACGGAAACTACACACCTTACAAATACAACCTGAAGAACTTCATGGTTATCAATGCTGTGGCCTTTGACCATGCGGTGAGAGTTTATGGACCCAGACACACTCCAGTACTTTTCAATATACATACAACAAATTGGTTTCTCTTTGCTTTCTGCTCTTTAAGTGAATTCACTGATTCTGTAGCACGCCTTTAAAAGTAACATATTGTTCCACTCACAATCTTCCTATAGGATCCATCTATCTTTACTGTGCTGACTGCCAAGTCCACACGACCAGGTGTGGCCATTGCTGACTTTGTCATCTTCCCACCTCGGTGGGGTGTGGCTGACCACACCTTCCGTCCACCGTACTATCACCGTAAGACCACAATAAGAATACATGCCTTGTTTCATTTTGCAGGGGAGGAGAAGAAGACTTAAGAAAGCAGAAACAATGAATTGAAAATGATTTTGAGAATAGGTTGCTAAGACGTGTCTGAATTTGATTCCAACTTTGAATGGAAATGTAAAATTCTATCTAGAAATGCTAATTTTAGTCTTATCGTGGAGTGATACAAGCCAGCCAGAAGCTAACATATCCATTTACCCAACCAGTGTCAAGGCAGTAGGTGATAACTATCAACCTGCTGTATGACACTTTTCAGCTGAGGCTCCACCGCAGAGCCTTTTGTCTGTTTTCACCACATATCTAGAAGGACATCTAGTGGAATTCAGTGTAACAGCATGCTCTTTACACTGCAAATTGTACCAGTTAAAGTGCTGTGTTACAGCTCCTCTTGGTTGTCACTTTAGGCAACTGCATGAGTGAATTCATGGGCCTGATCAAAGGCCACTATGAAGCTAAAGAGGAGGGCTTCCAGCCAGGAGGGGCCAGCCTCCACAGCATCATGACCCCGCACGGCCCAGACGCTGAATGCTTTGAGAAGAACAGCACTGCTGAGCTCAAACCTGAGAGGGTGGCTGAGGGAACCATGGTAAGAAAATACAACTAGAGAAATTAATTATATAAAAAGTTGGAAACCGGGTCAATGCCATGAGTGATTATACCTGTAACATCGTCTTTTCCTTCGTTCAGGCTTTCATGTTTGAATCATCCTTCAGTATGGCAGTGACCAAGTGGGGACTACAAACATGCCAGAGGCTTGACAAGAACTACTACCAGTGCTGGGAACCTCTTCGCAGCCACTTTAATCCCAACTGGAAGCCCAGCAAACAGTAGCAAAACAGAGTAATAACTAAATCATACAAAGATAAAAATTGTTTATCTTAAAATTTCATTTTAGTAAACATCAGTGCCATCAATCCAGTGTCTGTGGAACTGCTCTCTTTGTGTTGCTTGATTAAGTGTGTTGATGAAACTGCAGGAGCAATAAAATCATTTTTTTTAATGCAGACAACTAAGATTGGAGATGCACAATATAAACTGAAACTTGTGTGACAAACATTTGCTGTTGCTCATGTTCAAAATAAATCACATCTGTGCTGCATAAATAGTTTCTGTCAGGTCAGTCATGCATTTTGAACTAAAATGTAAATCCACTCTTGTTGTCACTGCCCCCGTGTCTACTGGTTAGTATGATGGTAAAATACTTGTTTGTGCATGCCCTAACAACAAGGTCTGTGTACATGTAAACTGTGCACAACATTTACAATATCGTAATTTCTTTCCCCTTCACACCTGATCAATCTAAACCATGAACAAGAAACCAGTGTTTTTGACAATATGATTTTATTTGTATAATAATAACTACACGCACTGGCATCACTGGAAGATAAAGGAGGTCTTTACACATCAGAGCTCATGATGACAAACTGAACTTGCGCTCGAGGGTTCCAGCTTTAATCTGCGCCTCCTTCCTGTCCTGTAAAACAGACAACAAACAGATGATGGGTTAATACAGTTTCCATGGCAACAAAGTCATATCACCCTCTTCACCTTCTGGGCATTTTCTCGGCTGCATGTTTTTTATGAGTAAGCGTCTTGTGGTTTTCAAACAGTTTTTGTCCTCCCAGCGGAGAGAGGGAGACGAACATGATAGCACAGCGGTGTGACAATTGCAACAAATTCTCGCTGGAATTTCTATTGGCGAGGGTGAATCTCCATGACAATGGGGAGGAAAATGAAAGGAGGCAGCATTTCAAGTGAAGCATTCATTTTTAATGTGAGTGGAACTGTGACCAAAAAAAGAAAACCAACTGCGCACCTAAAAGGGAAGAGTCCCCATGCTCAACTAAATAGCTTTTGATATATCTATGATGCCATTCACGGCCAAATATCACATTTAAGGATTATCCTAGATATAAGATTAGGAAAGAGAACTGATATTAGTGCTGTAACATGGGAAAATTTCACATGTTCTTATGCCAAGACTGTGTGGCTCACTGCTGTATAAAGTAAAATCACTGATGTTTTGACCACCAGAAGTGAGTATTGATATAAGTCTATAACAGCAGATAGATACAATGAAACGAAGACAGTAGCAGGGAATAGAAAAAGCTCAGACACCTGCACTCATTACAAGAAAGGACTTCAACCTGCAACAATATGTGGGCATACAGCGTATTCTAGTCTTTTTTCTCATTTTGTTTATGTTGTTTTGGTTCTAGTCTGTCACTCTTGCTCTTTTAACAGCCTAACTGTGAATAAACAGTTCCCTAAATGATCAATGTGTGTGCCCATACTTGACATTCTTTTGCTTCTGGATAAGACATTAACATGTGCCACTTTATCTGTAGTACACAAACTTAAATATGCAAAAGCGCAGTGCAGTTATTAAACCTGCTGCTTAAGGAGCAGCAGATAAGTTGGGCCATTTATTAAACACTCTGTGATAAACAAGCAAAGAGAGGTCAGCACATCTTGTCTCATACCCTGTCTGTCTTGAAGAGGAAGTAGAGGCCGAAGAGAGGCGCGATTCCAAACATCGCACCCAACAGAGATGTCTTGAATGTGGGCCTAAAGTATGAGTAAGGGTTGGTGCGTGCATGCACCCAGCGTGTCAGGGCAGGGTCTTCCTGTAAAGACACAAACGCAACTGAATGTCACTCTGAGTCTTTGCAGTTGAAAAAATGAAGGTCAAACAATTATTTACAACAAGAGTATTAAAGATATAGTATGTTGTTATGATAATACAAAACTGTTGTGATTTCTCACAGTGTTGACTAAAGCAAACTGAAACATATTGTCAATTTCATATTATTATGATTACTTGACCTTCATCTTTATCTTTCTTATATTTTCCTACCTGCTATGTTTATTGTTAAGCACAAAAACACCAATGCCTTTTACTTGTATGAGTACACTTACTTGTCAATAAAGCTGAATAAAAAACACTTTATGATATTTACAACATACAACACCCCTCTACCCACTGTCATGGCTTTCTGGGACAGTGTCTGCTGTAAAGAAATAAGCTCATCATGTGTACAGAATAGACAGAAGTGGCATTAGTAGAACCATAATATGGAATAACAATATGACTATTAACTAAGTTAGTACATATATAAAGTAAATATTAAGTTGAGGAGTTTCAGGCAAAGTTAAAGTCAGTTGTATGTTGTTACATAGGGCATATTTTGGCCAGGTGAATGTCAATTATGATGCAGACTGCTAACAACTGATTAATTGCATTATATTGGAGCAGCTGGGGATTTAGCAGTCTGGACTAGAGCCCGTTTAGCTGCAAGATTGAAAAGGACTGGTGTGTAACAATTATTGGAAAGATTATGTTTGAGTTTGCTAAAAGCAAAAACTAAAAGCAACACTGAAGCCCTTGACTTGAAAGATATAACGTTCCCATACAGAAATGTAACACTGACTAGTGGACACTGTCGTTCAGCTTAAAGTTGGTGGACAAAGTATACAAATCCTCTCAGAATACATAGAACTGGGGTCCAAGTCTTTATAACGTTACTAGCTAAATGTGACTGTGGATGCCAGAGCAACTGAAGTCGGTAATAAGACATTGATGTTGTCTAAAAGCGTTTTAAATCACTGTAACGTTAACAGTATACTCAAGCATCAACACCTGAGATCAACCTTGTTCTAGAGTTAGCAAGCTAATTTACACATTACCGTTTTATCAAAAGTAAAACCTCCCTAAAAGCCTGTCCCACATGTAAACATAAAGGGCACATACTATGCTGCACTAACGGTATACTATATTACTGATATGATTTAGCAAAACTTGGTTCGCCCGACTTAAATGCTTTGACATGCAATCGTTAGCAAGTAGCCTGAGCCATTTTCAAGGGTGACATTGCTAGCTATGAGGTAGCCACTTACAATGAGCTCTTTTCTGTGCGGGTTATTAAGTTGCGTCTGATACTGCCTCTTTAGGTCCGCTCGTAGTGCTGCCCTGTCTTGTTCGGCACGTCGCTGCTCCGGCGAGAGGTTGAAATACTCATTTGGGTCCAGTGTTTTTGGCCGTGTGGCCAAGGGCGCCTCTCGGTAGTCCGCCATGATTGTTTGGTGACGGGTGACACTGGGGCAAACGTGAACTAGTGAAATCTCGCGTTGAACGGCCGAGTCGTCACCATAGCAACATCAAGCTTTCTGTCGCTGGGTGTGCTAAACGCAACAATGAGCGCAACAAATAACAATAAAGACAAGGACGAGGGTGTTCCGGCTGAAAGTGACGATGACTTTCAGTATGAAGAAGTCCCTCTAGAAGATGACTGGAGTTTGACAGAAGGGGAAGAAGATTTGGAGGCAACGGTGAGAGCTATCCAAGACCGGGCAGAGGCCGCTGCTGCTGCTCCCAAGGCCAGAGAAACCTCCATCACACAGCAGCCTAAGGCCGTGGTCGTTGACGACTTTCTACGCAACTTTCTTTTCCAAATGGGCATGGCAGAAACACTTGACTGTTTTCAGACTGAGTGGAGTGAAATGGTGCAGAAAGGGCTGGTGGATCCAGATCGGGTTGGCGTGGTTCCGGATGTGCACAGTGAAAACATGCGCCTGGACAGCGAGTTAAAAAACGCGCAGCGGGAGAGAGATGAGTACAGACTGGCAGCCTCTGCCGCAGCTGAGACACTGGGGAGGGTCCAGAAAGCCAGAGACTTGCACCGGATGCAGCATAAGCGCGTCGTCCAGGAGAAAATCAGGCTCATCGAGGAGATGAGAAAGCTGAAAGTGCAGTGCAGCAGCTACGAACCTGCAGTAAAGCGGATGAATGATAAATACCAAGCAGTTTTAAAGCAGACCATGCTGGTGACTTTGGAGAAGGACATGGCAAATGGGACAGGCGATCCGCCAGTCAGCTCAGAATCCGACTCACAAGTGATCCGACCAAGACCTCCTACATCTGCCAACAGTCCACGGAGTCAGACTAGGGGGGAGTCAGTGAAGGCAAATGTTTGTTGAAATAAAAAGTTGGTCTCACATAACTTTCCTCGTGAATGCTCATGCTGTTAAGCCTCCTTGTACAGCACAGTTTTGAGGTACCAGTAGGCCTACTTTCCTGAAGTATTTACATTTTCTAAGCCTTCTGTTTTTATTCTACAATTCAGAAGCAAATGTTGTAGGGGTGACCGGCTATGGTTGTAACATGGGGAGAGTTTTAACCCCACCAATTCCACCAATTAGAGATAAGATATGAGTTAGGTGCAGGGACATGCACAGACATTTTGGTGGGCAGGGGCTCAAGTGAAAAAAAGGGCATTTTTTAAAACAAGACAAATATATTAACTCAACAACATTTTTACTTTTCTACAAAATAATCAGTTCACACAGAGACCACGGTCTTTTAGTATTCACTAGGTTTATCATAGGAGCAGGCAACAGAAAAGCAAACTATGCCACAATGTGCAAGTTTCAAGTATATGACATAGTTTCATTAATAATTTGTTTAATTTTCACAAGGCAATAAATCGTTTCAATCCTTTTGGTGTTATTGGAATACATAAATCTTCACACTAATCTGTGTCATTGGGCTGCAGGCATAATTAAAATAAATGTTATTTAAATACTTTTACTTTTTGTTTCACAAGCAAGATGCCAAATGAGTAAAGATAACTTTCAGCTTCACACAGCCAAGCAACAGAATACTGAATAAATTAATGTATTGATCAAATACTTTATTATTGTTGCTATTATATTACATTTACGATGCACATGCACATGCACACACACACACACAAACACACACACACACACACACACACACACACACACACACACACACACACACACAATTACTGATGGTGAGATGGACTTAGTTTCACATTTGAGGGAGGGCTGTCTGTATTAGAATGGAGAGTTATTAGATGAGGAGCCTACCATTAAAACTATCAAGTTACTCTTTAAGGTGCTTTAGTGATTTAGAAGTCCGGCTCCGCACCTTGGTAGATCAGTCTTTAGCTACTGTAGCTAGCCAGTCCCTGGTAGTCGGTGCGGAACGGCCTGAGTTAGCCTGTGGTAGCCGTCCTCCGGCATCCCCTGTGCAGCCAGGAAAGGGGGGCTGGGTGACTGTCCGAAGGAGGAATAGTCGTAAGCATTCAAAGTCCACGGGGCATCATCAACCTGTTCACGTTTCTAACAGATTTTCCCCACTCAGCGACACACCCGCTGAGAAACCAACTCTGATCATTGGCAGCTCCATTTTGAGAAACGTGAATTTAGCGAAGCCAGCGGCCATAGTTAAGTGCATCCCTGGGGCCAGAGCGGGCGACATTGAGTCTTATTTGAAACTGCTGGCTAAGGATAAACGTAAATACAGTAAGATTGTTATTCACGTCGGCGGTAATGACTCCCGGTTACGCCAATCGGAGGTCACTAAGATTAATGTTGAGTCGGTGTGTACATATGCAAAAACAATGTCGGACACCGTAGTTTTCTCTGGACCCTGCCAAATCTGACCAGTGATGACATGTATAGCCGCATGTCGTCATTCCGCCGCTGGTTGTCGAGGTGGTGTCCAGCAAACGATGTGGGCTTTGTTGATCATTGGCAGACTTTCTGGGGAAGACCTGGTCTGATCCGGAGAGACGGCATCCATCCCACTTGGGAAGGAGCAGCTCTCATTTCTAGAAATCTGGCCAAGTTTATTAGTGGACCAAATCCATGACAACCCAGAGTTGAGACCAGGAGGCAGAGTCGCAGTTTAACACACTTCTCTGCCCTTCTTTTCAGCAGTTACCCACCCAAAACCCTACGCAGAGTCGCAGTCTAACACACTTCTCTGCTCCTCCATTTCAGGAGTTACTTAGTGAAAATCCTATAGTGACGGTGTCTGTCCCCCGACCATCGAAATTATTTAAAAAGGTAAACAGAAGAGGAGCTGTGCATAAAAACCTTATAAAAATTAAAACCACAAGAGCAATAGTGCAAACGAATAGGAGAGTTAAATGTGGACTCTTAAACATCAGATCTCTCTCTTCTAAAGGTGTACTAGTAAATGAACTAATATCAGATTATGATATTGATTTATTTGGTCTTACTGAAACCTGGCTGGGTGATGGAGAATATGTTAGCCTAAATGAATCCACCCCTCCCAGTCATATTAATACTCACATTCCTCAAGGCATAGGCCGAGGAGGTGGAGTTGCAGCTATCTTCGACTCTAGCCTACTAATCAGCTCTAAACCTAAACTAAACTATAACTCATTTGAAAGTCTTGTTCTTAGTCTTTCGCACCCAAGTTGGAAATCACTGCAACCAATTCTTTTTGTTATAGTGTACCGAGCACCTGGCCCGTACTCTGAATTCTTATCTGAATTTGCAGAGTTTTTGTCAACTTTAGTCCTTAAACGGACAAAGTTATTATTGTAGGAGATTTTAATATTCATGTGGATGTTGAGAATGACAGCTTTAGTACTGCGTTTATCTCTCTGTTAGATTCCATCGGCTTCTCTCAGAGTGTTCATGAACCGACTCACTGTTTTAACCACACCCTCGACCTTGTTTTGGTGTATGGTATTGAAATTGAACATTTAGTGGTGTTCCCACAGAATCCCTCTTTATCCGACCACTGTTTGATAACTTTTGAGTTTGTATTGCTGAACTACTCGCCATTGGGCAAAAAATTTCTATACAAGATGTCTGTCTGATAGTGCTATAGCTAAATTTAAGGATACGATTCCATCAGCTCTAAATACATTATCTAGTCACAAAGTAACGGAGGACTCCTATGCTAATTTCAGTCCCTCCCAAATCGATCATCTTGTTGATAGTGCTGCAGGCTCGCTGCGAATGACACTCGACTCTGTAGCCCCTCTAAAAAAGAAAATACTAAAACAAAGACGGTTAGCTCCATGGTATAATACTGAAACTCGCAAATTAAAGCAAATATCACGGAAACTTGAGAGGAATTGGCGTTCTACCAAAGTGGAAAATTCTCGTTTAATTTGGCAAGATAGTCTTAAAACTTATAGGAAGGCCCTCCGTAATGCCAGAGCAGCCTACTACTCGTCATTAATAGAGGAAAATAGGAACAACCCAAAGTTTCTTTTCAGCACTGTAGCCAGGCTGACAGAGAGTCACAGCTCTATTGAGCCAAGTATTCCCATAGCTCTCAGTAGTTACGATTTCATGAGCTTCTTTAATGATAAAATTCTAGCTATTAGAGACAAAAGACCTGCCCTCAATTGGCACCGACTTATCTCTTAATTCAGGAACCTTAGAAACAGCTGTAGAACCAGATACATGTTTAGATTGTTTTGCTTCCCTCAATCTTTACCAACTAACTTCAATAATTTCTTCATCTAAACCATCAACCTGCCTCTTAGACCCCATCCCGACTAGGCTGCTTAAAGATGTTCTACCCTTAGTCAGCACCTCTATACTAGATATGATCAATCTATCTTTATCAACAGGCTATGTACCACAGTACTTTAAAGTAGCTGTAATTAAACCTCTTCTGAAAAAGCCCAAACTTGATCCGGATGTTTTAGCCAACTATAGACCTATATCTAACCTTCCATTTCTCTCTAAGGTTCTGGAGAAAGCAGTTGCTAAACAGCTGTGTGACTTTCTACAGAGCAATAGTTTATTTGAGGATTTTCAGTCAGGATTTAGAGCTCATCATAGCACAGAGACAGCACTGGTGAAAATTACTAATGACCTCCTTATTGCATCAGACAAAGGACTTGTCTCTGTACTGGTTTTATTAGATCTTAGTGCTGCATTTGATACCATTGACCATCAGATCCTATTGCAGAGACTGGAATATTTCATTGGCATTAAAGGAACCGCTCTAAGCTGGTTTAAGTCCTATTTATCAGATCGATTTCAGTTTGTACATGTTAACGATGAGTCCTCCATGCACGCCAAAGTTACTCATGGAGTTCCTCAAGGATCTGTCCTTGGACCAATCCTCTTCACTTTATATATGCTTCCTTTAGGCAATATTATCAGGAAACATTCCATAAGCTTTCATTGTTATGCAGATGATACTCAGTTATATCTATCGATCAAGCCAGATGAAACTCATCAGTTAGCTAAACTTCAAATGTGCCTTCAGGATGTTAAAACCTGGATGACCTGTAATTTTCTCATGTT